ACATATGTATACTTGTGCCATGTTGGTGTTCTGCACCCATCAACTCGTCATTTACATCAGGTATAACTCCCAATGCAATCCCTCCCCCCTCCCCCCTCCCCATGATAGGCCCCTGTGTGTGATGTTCCCCTTCCTGAGTCCAAGTGATCTCATTGTTCAGTTCCCACCTATGAGTGAGAACATGCGGTGTTTGGTTTTCTGTTCTTGTGATAGTTTGCTAAGAATGATGGTTTTTCACAAATAATAATTGTATGTATCCAGGATGTACATAGTGATGCTTTGATACATATACTGTACAGCAATCAGATCAAGGTAATTAGCATATTCATCATCTCAAACATTTATCATTTGTGTTGGAAACATTCAATATCCTCATTCTTGCTATTTAAAACTATGGATATTGTTAACTATAGTCATCTTCCAGTGGTCTATAGCCCTAGAACTTATTCCTCCTGTCTAGCTGTATTTTTGTATCCTTTAACAAATCTCTCCCTATGCTATTCTCCCCCTTCCCCTTCCCAGTCTCTAGTGTCCTCTATCCTTTCTACTTCTATGAGATCCATTTTTTCAGCTTTCACGTATAAGTGAGAACATGTGGTGTTTAACTTTCTCTTCCTGGCTTATTTCACTTAGCATAATGTCCTCCAGTTCCATCCATGTTGCCACAAATGACAGAATCACATTCTTTTTATGGCTGAGTAGTATTCCATGGTGTATATATATCACATTTTCTTTCTACATTCATCTGTTGTTGGGCTCCTAGGTTGATTCCATATCTTGCCTATTGTGAATAATGCTGCAATAAACATAAGTGTAAAGATGTCTCTGATACACTGACTTCCTCTTCTTTGGATAAATGCATAATAGTGGGATTGCTGGAACACATGACAGTTCTCTTTGCAGTTTTTTTTTTTTTTGAGTCGGAGTCTCGCTCTGTCGCCCAGGCTGGAGTGCAGTGGCGCGATCTCGGCTCACTGCAAGCTCCGCCTCCCGGGTTCCCGCCATTCTCCTGCCTCAGCCTCCCGAGTAGCTGGGACTACAGGCGCCCGCCACCTCTCCCGGCTAGTTTTTTTTAGTACTTTTTTAGTAGAGACGGGGTTTCACCGTGTTAGCCAGGATGGTCTCCATCTCCTGACCTCGTGATCCGCCCGTCTCGGCCTCCCAAAGTGCTGGGATTACAGGCTTGAGCCACCGAGTCCGGCACTCTTTGCAGTTTTTTGAGGATCCTCTGTACTGTTCTCCACAGTGGCTGTACTAGTTTACATTCCCACCAACAGTGTATAAGACTCCCTTCTCCACATTCTCACCAGCAATCGTTATTTTTGTCCTTTTGATGATAGCCATCCTAACTGGGGTGAGATGATACCTCAGGGTGGTTTTCATTTGCATTTCCCTGATTATCAGTGATGCTGACCATTTCTTTCATATATCTGTTGGTCATTTGTGCGTCTTCTTTTGATAAATGTCTTTTCGGATATGACTGCTTTTTAATAGCATTGTTTGTCTATTTGCTGTTGAGATATTTGAGTTCCTTGTATATTTCTGGATATTAATCCCCTTTCATGTGAATAGTCTGCAAACATTTTCTTCCATTCTGCAAGTTGTCCTTTCATTCTGTTGATTATTTCATTTGCTGTGAGGAGCTTTTTAGTTTGGTATAATCCTATTTGTTTATTTTTGCTTTTGTTGCCTGTGCTTTCGAGATCTTATTCATAAAATCTTTTCCAAAACCCAAGGTCCTGAAGCACTTCCTCTACATTTTTTTCTAGTAGTTTTATTGTTTCTGGTCTTATAGTTAGCTCTTTGATCCATTTTAATTGATTTTTGTATGAGGTGAGAGGTGGGAAGTCTAGTTTGAGCCTTCTGCATGTGGACATCCAATTTTTCCAAAACCATTTAGTGAAGAGACTGTTCTTTCCCTAATGAGGGTCTGATCTGAAGGCCTCTTCACTGACATGTCTGGTGCCTGGGCTTGGATGGCTAGAATAGCTGGAATAGCTAGAGGCAATCTGGAGCTCTCTCTCCACAGACCTCTCTAAATGGCTAACTTGGACTTCTTCACAGAATGGCAATTTCCATGTAATTGGACTGACAACTGTCTTTTCCTATAACAAGCATTCCAGGAAACCTGTGGTAAAGATGCAAAGCTTATCCTCAACTCAAAATTCATACATAGTTATTTGTACCATTGTTTACTGGGTGAAACAGTCACAAGCCAGCCCAGATTTAAGGAGGTGAAAAAATTGACTCCATCTTTCAATGACAGAATGGATTGCATGTTCAGGAAGTAAAGGAAGTGATGGTGGCCACCTTATACACATACAGACTCAAAGTGATTAATGCTTTCTTCAAATGCCATCTGCATCTCTACCACATAAAGTGTGGCTTTCCCTAACACATACGTTTTCTCTTTCTGTCCTTTTTTCAGTTGAGGATACTTTCTAAATTAACAGTGAAAACAGTAAATATCTGTGTACTCCTTGCTTCTTTCCACAAATTAGGATTTACAATCACATCCAAATTTAACTCTCAGCTGTGCTGTTCCGTAGCAGTGACTTGAGCAAATAACTTCTCATTAGAATGAACTCTCTGATACCCAGTGCCTACCATAAAACTTAACATATAAGGTTATCGACTAAATAACTTTCTAAGTAATCTCTTTGAGATTCCGTTACTTCCTCTATGAAATGGGGATAACAATGCCCACCTCACAGTGACGAAGAAGTAAATGAACAATTTAATGTTTGCAAACACTTAGTGCCTTAATACAGTATAATACAGTGAGATTATCACAGCTATTAGTATTATTATAGTTAGTATTCTTCTCACTATTATATCATTATAATGTATTGTAGATGCTCCTCCACTTATCTGTCACCACAGTCTAAAAACTTGTTAGACACCTTCTTCAACACCTGGATCCCATTTATTTTCTTTACCCTATCCTTAGTCACTATTTTAATGGCTTCAACATTGATACTGGGTGATGCAATAGACATATTTTTTCATAAATCCTAGACCTTATCAACCCTGTAATAATATTCTCAAGTTTGCTTTAGATAAACAAAAACCAACTTCTTACTCAAAAACCACCCTACCTCTAAATTCACAAATCTGTCAATTTTCTCTTGCAACACCATTCTTACTCTTATATTTTCCTCCCATAACAATCCAGTCTCCTTGACTCCCTTCTTTTATTCTAGTCTGTCAGCCCCATTCTGGCTTCATCTGACTTGACTCCATGGTTACCCACAGCATTGTCATATTTGATGATAAAAAAATATCAGAATTACAAACTCCCAAGCCTGAATGGATGCTACTGACTACTTTCCTGGTCTTGGTCCTGACTTTCCTATCTTTACTGAATTGGTCAGTTTCACTTCAAAATGATACCGTCTAACCAAACTTGAACTCTAGTACTATTCTAGAATCTTTGTATTTTCTCTTCATTGCATCCTTCCACTTTTATCATGTGCTATTCCAAAACTTTCCTGTTATCCTCCAGCCCCCAATCTAATTTCCCCCAATCACCTTAACTTTTGTAGACAGTCTTATATTCTTAAGTTTAAAAACATGAGTACCTTCCAAAATGAGCTCTCTCAACCTTTCCCCTTACCATCTCGAAAACTTTAGTTATTTTGCTGTTTCTTCCTTCATTTAACTTAGAGGAAAAAATTGTCATTTATTCTCAAGATTGCTCTCTAGACCTTTGCCCACAATCCCAACTTTTGGTCACCTTCCTGATAGAATAGTCTCTATCTTCTATATCTTTAGTATCTTGCATCTGCTGGTGGTTCTTCTCAGCCTTGATTTAAAAAATCAAACAAAAAAAAATTCATTCCTTATTTTCTAAAAATGTAATTTGCCCCAGTGAGGCTTTTAAACTTTTTCTCCATCTTACTGAACCTGTATTGTTGATACTCTGTATTCAAAAGTCTTCACCAACCCCTCTATCTGTTCAGCATGCAACCATTTCTTGGCGTTTGGCTCATATCTCTTAATCAACAAATCCACATAGCACTTGCTACATAAAGACCAACTCAGAAAATACTTAAAATACTTAAGTTTTTGACATTCAAAATAAAGCATTATTGTAACTTTAATTGTCCATACAATGGACTGAAAGAACTGGCATTGCTTTGTAGCCACTAAAATATAAATAGCTGTGCATTTTTAAAATACTATTCAAAATCACCACTAGAAATAAAAATATAATGGCACATTTCTCCTCAAATCTGATTATAATTGGCTCTTAAAGATGAAGTCCGTATGCACACAGATTAGTCAATACTATTCTATACCATTCTTTCATAATCAAAAGGGAATTAATCCTCTTTTACTCACGACTTCCCCACTCCAACCAAGAAAAAAAGGAAGCTAATCACAGATCACAGTCTCCTTTGAACTCCCTACAGAACTTTATATATGTCTCATGTCTGGCATATGTCCTTACCTTGTCTATACTATCATTATTTCAGAACCTTTTGTATCTCCCTTGTTAGAGTCTAAGCTATGTGTACTTGATAGTACACATCAGAGGGCTTGTATATGGTATGTTCTCTGAACATGAACATTAGCTCTATCCACTTATAGTATTTTAGTAAGGCTGAGATTTTCTTTGTCCCTGATAGCATTGCCTGTGATTTTCTGTTGCTGCCTCTGTAAACTGTGATTGATTTCAGCAGCTGCATTTGATATTGGCATTCACATCTTTGTATTTGTTTCTCATTATTTTTTTCTTTTTCTATAAAATATAATGCTAATTGGTAACTGCTTCTGGGCACAAAATATCAGAAAGAAATCAAATCTACAATTAAGTTTCCCCCAGAAATCCTAGACTCCAACTTGCATCCATGATTTTTGTTGTAAATTTTCATTACTAAATTCATATTTCATTAAGATGATTACATAGTTTGATGGGCTACATATTGGAAATATAATTTCTCATGGCTCCTGATAATACTCTGTGCTTAACTTTATCCATTGCCTTTGACCTATAGGTCCCCCAGGCCCACCTGGGATAGTAATTGTTGAGGAAATCACCGAAAGTACAGCCACACTATCCTGGAGCCCAGCAGCTGACAACCACAGCCCAATCTCCTCCTACAACCTTCAAGCTCGCAGCCCATTTTCGCTAGGCTGGCAAACAGTAAAGACAGGTAAGAGGCACTAATGCAACATCAGATATAACCAGAGTGGTCTTCTATCTCATAAGCCATATTTGGCTAAGTTCTTACTAGGATCTTCTTTGGATTCTGAAATCTCTTTATTATTTATTACAATATTGACAACTCTTTGCTACTTTTTATGAACCTAAGAAGAGCAAGGTACCTTGCTTTCCTCTTTTCAGTTCCCAAAGAGGGACCGTATTATGTTCACTTATTTGTTTGTTGAAATAACCTTAAACTCACATAGAAGTTGCAAAAATAGTGCAGAGTTCCTGTGGATCCATTCCCCAGCTTCCTGCCATGATAAAAGTCTTACATAACCATAGTACAGTTACCAAATCAGGAGATGATGTTGGTGAATTGATGTTAACTAAGTTTCAGACCTTATTAGGATCTCACTAGTTTTGATATGCAATTGTTTTAGTGTATACTTATACGAGATTCTATGAAATTTTATTATGCAGACTCAAGTAACCACCGAGACAATCTGGATATAGATCAATTTCATTAGCTCAGTTCCCTGTGCTACTCCTTTCTAGTCATACATCTGTTTTATTTATAAAAAGAAAATCTAGTGGCTGGCAAGATGGGTGAATAGGAACAGCTCTGGTCTGCAGCTCCCAATGAGATTAATGCAGAAAGTGGGTGATTTCTGCATTTCCAACTGAGGTACTAAGCTCATCTCACTGGGACTGATTAGACAGTGGGTGCAGCCCATGGAGGGCAAGCTGAAGCAGGGTGGGGCATTGCCTCACCCAGAAAGCATAAGGGATCAGAGAACTCCCTCCCTTAGCCAAGGGAAGCCGTGAGGGACTGTGCCATGAGGAACAGTGCACACCAGCCCAGATACTACACTTTACCCAGAGTCTTCACAACCCACAGACTAGGAGATTCCCTCAGGGGTCTATAGCACCAGGGCCCTGGGTTTCAAGCAGAAAACTGGGCAGCCATTTGGGCAGACACCGAGCTAGTTGCAGGAGTGTGTTTTCATACCCCAGTGGCTCCTGGAACGCTAGCGAGACAGAACCATTCACTCTCCTAGAAAGGGGGCTGAAGCCAGAGAGCCAAGTGGTCTAGCTCAGCAGATCCCACCCCCACGGAGCCCAGCAAGCTATAAGATCCACTGGCTTGAGATTCTCAGCAGTCTGAAGTCAACCTGGGATGCTTGAGCTTGGTCAGGGGAGGGGTGTCCACCATTACTGAGGATAGAGTCATGTGCCTCCTGACTGGGACACAACTCCCAGTAGGGTGTTGTGACTGACACCTCATAAAGGAGAGCTCTGGCTGGCATCTGGTGGTGCCCCTCTGGGACTAAGCTTCCAGAGGAAGAAACAGGCATCAATCTTTGCTGTCCTGCACCCTCTGCTGGTGATGCCCAGGCAAACTAGGTCTGGAGTGGACCTCCAGCAAACTCCAGCAGACCTGCAGCAGAGGGACCTGACTGTTAGAAGGAAAACCAACAAACAGAAAGAAATAGCATCAATATTAACAAAAAGGATGTCCACACAGAAACCCCATCTGAAGGTCCAAAGACCAAAGATAGATAAATCCACAAAGATGAGGGAAAAAACAGCACAAAAAGGCTGAAAATTCCAAAAACCAGCACACCTCTTTTCCTCCAAAGGATCACAACTCCTCGCCAACACGGGAACAAAACTGGATGTAGAATGAATATCACGAATTAACAGAAGTAGACATCAGAAGGTGGGTAGTAACAAACTCCTCCAAGCTAAAGGAGCATGTTCTAACCCAATGCAATGAAGCTAAGGACCTTGAAAAAAGGTTAGATGAATTACTAACTAAAATAACCAGTTTAGAGAAGAACACAAATGACCTGATGAAACTGAAAAACACAGCAGGAGGACTTTGTGAAGCATAAACAAGTATCAATAGCCAAATCGATCAAGCCGAAGAAAGGATATCAAAAATTGAAGATCAACTTAATGAAATAAAGCATGTAGACAAGATTAGAGAAAAAAGAATGAAAAGGAACGAACAAAGCCTCCAACAAATATAGGACTATGTGAAAAGACCAAACATACGTTTGATTGGTGTACCTGAAAGTGACAGGGAGAAGGGAACCAAGTTGTAAAACATTCTTCAGGATATTATCTAGGAGAACTTCCCCAACCTAGCAAGACAGGCCAACATTCAAATTCAGGAAGTAGAGAGAATACCACAAAGATACTCCTCGAGAAGAGAAAGCCCAAGACACATAATCATCAGATTCACTAAGGTTGAAATGAAGGAAAAAATGTTATGGGCAGCCAGAGAGAAAGGTCGAGTTACCCAGAAAGAGAATCCTATCAGTCTAACAAGGGATCTCTCTGCAGAAACCCTACAAGCCAGAAGACAAGGGGGACCAATATTCAACATTCTTAAAGAAAAGAATTTTAAACCCAGTATTTCCTATCCAGCCAAACTAAGCTTTATAAGAGAAGGAGAAATAAAATCCTTTACAGATAAGCAAATGCTGGGAGATGTTGTCCCCACCAGGCCTGCCTTACAAGAGATCCTGAAGGAAGCACTCAATATGGAAAGGAAAAACAGATACAGCCACTGCAAAAACATACCAAATTGTAAAGACCACCGACACTATGAAGAAACTGAATCAACTAACAGGCAAAATAACCAGCTAGCATCATAATGACAGGATCAAATTCACACATAACAATATTAACCTTAAATATAAATGGGCTAAATGCCCCAATTAAAAGACACAGACTGACAAGTTGGATAAAGAGTCAAGACCCATCAGTGTGCTATATTCAGGAGACCCATCTCACGTGCAAAGACACACATAGGCTCAAAATAAAGGGATGGAGAACGATTTACCAAGCAAATGAAAAGCAAAAAAAGCAGAGGGTGCAATTCTAGTCTCTGATAAAACAGACTTTAAACCAACAAAGATCAAAAAAGACAAAGAAGGGCATTATATAATGGTAAAGGGATCAATGCAAAAAGAAGAGCTAACTATCCTAAATATATATGCACCCAATACAGGAGCACCCAGATTCATAAAGCAAGTTCTTAGAGACCTACAAAGAGACTTAGACTTCCACACAATAATAGTGGGAGACTTTAAAACCCCACTATCAATATTAGACAGAGGAACAAGAGAGAAAATTAACAAGGATATTCAGGACTTGTACTCAGCTCTGGACCAAGCATACCTAATAAACATCTACAGAACTCTCCACCCCAAATCAACAAATATGCATTTTTCTCAGCATCACATCGCACTTATTCTAAAATTGACCACATAATTGGAAGTAAAACACTCCTCAGCAAATGCAAAATAATGGAAGTAATAACAAACTGTCTCTCAGACCACAGTGCAATCAAACTAGAACTCTGGATTAAGAAATTCAATCAAAACTGCTCAACTACATGGAAACTGAACAACCTGCTCCTGAATGACTACTGAGTAAATAATGAAATTAAGGCAGAAATAAATAAGTTCTTTGAAATCAATGAGAACAAAGAGACAACATACCAGAATCTCTGGGACACAGCTAAAGCATTGTTTAGAAGGAAATTTATAGCACTAAATGCCCACAGGAGAAAAGGGGAAATATCTAAAATCGACACCCTAAAATCACAATTAAAAGAACTAGAGAAGCAAGAGCAAACAAATTCAAAAGCTAGCAGAAGACAAGAAATAACTAAAACCACAGTAGAAATGAAGGAGATAGAGAAACAAAAACCCCTTCAAAAAATCAATGAATCCAGGAACTGGTGTTTTGAAAAGATTAACCAAATAGATAGACCACTAGCCAAATTACTAAAGAAGAAAAGAGAGAAGAATCAAATAGACACAGTAAAAAATGATAAAGAGGATATCACCACTGATCTCACAGAAATACAAACTACCATCAGAGAATACTGTAAACACCTCTGTGCAAATAAACTAGAAAATCTAGAAGAAATGGATAAACTCCAAAACTATACCCTCTTAAGAATAAACCAAGAAGAATTTGAATCCCTGAATAGACCAGTAACAAGTTCTGAATATGAGGAAGTAATTAATAGCCTACCAATCAAAGAAGCCCAGGACCAGAAAGATTCATAGCCTATTTCTCCCAGAGGTACAAAGAGGAGCTGGTACCATTCTTTCTGAAACTATTCCAAACATTAGAAAAAGAGGAACTCGTCCCTGACTCATTTTACAAGGTTAATATCATCCTGATACCAAAACCTGGGAGAGGCACAACAAAAAAAGAAAATTTCAGGCCAGTATCCATGATGAATATCAATGGAAGAATCCTCAATAAAATACTGGTAAATCGAATACAGCAGCACATCAAAAAGCTTATCCAAAATGATCAAGTCAGCTTCATCCCTGTTATTCAAGGCTGGTTCAACATATGCAAATCAATAAACATAATCCATCGCATAAACAGAATCAATGACAAAAACCAAATGATTACCTCAATAGATGCACAAAAGGACTTTAATAAAATTCAACAACCCTTCATGGTAAAAACTCTCAATAAAATAGGTACTGATGGAACATATCTCAAAATAGGAAGAGTTATTTAGGATAAACACTCAGCTAATATCATACTAAATGGGCAAAAAATGGAAGCATTCCCTTTGAAAACCGGCACAAGACAAGGATGCCCTCCCTCATCATTCCTACTCAACATAGTATCGAAAGTTTTGGCCAGGGCAATCAGGCAAGAGAAAGAAATAAAAGGTATTCAAATAGGAAGAGAGGAAGTAAAATTGTCCCTTGTTTGCACATGACATGATTGTATATTTAGAAAACCCCATTGTCTCAGCCCCAAACCTCCTTAAGCTGATAAGCAACTTCAGCAAAGTCTCAGGACACAAAATCAATTTGCAAAAATTACAAGCATTCGTATATACCAATAATAGACAAACAGAGAGCCAAATCATGAGTGAATTCCCATTCACAATTGCCACAAATAGAATAAAATACCTAGGAATACAACTTACAAGGGATGTGAAGGACCTCTTCAAAGAGA